TTGTTGCCTCCGCTTAGCAAGCTCTTCACACGGCGAAACCGAGTTGGTGTGGTTTAGGTGAATGCAAGACATATTGAAGGAAAAAGAATTGGTGTCTCTTTTTTCCTTCAAGAACCTTATGAAGAGTTCCCGTGTTGCCTCACATGAAGGTTGCCCCCCACAGAAGTTATAACTTCCATAGCCTCCTGGTCTCCTGGATGTGGGGCAGGTCTCGGTTTCTTAGGGTCACCTCAGTGAAGACAGACGGCAAGGATCCTTTTGAGTGTTGCAGCTGTCTACTGAGGTGTGGATTTTCTCCAGGTTCTCCGGTTTCCCCCACATTCTTAAAAAACATGCAACAACTGATTTTTAATTTGTACTTAATTGATCTCTCTAAATTGTACTTCAAAAGCATAAACTTAAATGCTACAGAAGTGCATTGCATTCACCAAAGAAATAAATAATTGGAGAACCTTGTCACATAATTAATTTTTGTTGTCTTTTACAGGCTATAACTGCTCTAAAAAGCAGGGTGTGTGGGTTGGTGATGTGGTAGTATGTCAGTGTTAGCTTCCTGAGTCTTCCGTCTGTGCAGGATAGACAGCAAACTGAGTCCAAGTTTGAGTATTGAGGTTATCATTGCAGCTATTCCAAGCTAATACTAGCTAGTACTTCAACTCTGTTGATGCTGAGTACCAGTTGGATACCAGTACTTTCTTTTTCCCAAATTAAAATCTGTGTACCATGCGGCAGTGATTATTTTTGTATAACATTACACGAGGACTAAGATTGCTGTGAGTTGGTAGCCCACTTTGTCTGATAATGGTAGCTTGTTCTTTTCATCACTAATACCTAGTTGCAGTTCTAGTTCCGGTCCCTTTCCTTTACATCCACAGGCTGTAACAGGAAAGAGTTTTGGAGACAAGGACTTCCGCAGTGCACTGGAGAATGGCATCCTGTTATGCGAGTAAGCCTGTGACTTTGGTGACATCTTAATATTTCAGTTTTTGATATCTCAAAAACAGCAAAAACATACATCAACATACATTTCTGCTTCTCCCTTCCTCCACGAAGGCTGCTGAGTGCAATCAGACCAGGACTGGTCAAGAAGATCAACAGACTGCCCACCCCCATTGCTGGGCTGGTAAGAAAACACTCTCCAGTGTGATATTGAGTTCTGTAAACCACCCTGTTCGTCAAAGTGATATATTCTGACTGTCTGTGGTCCCCTGCTGTGTCCTTTAGGACAACCTGTCAGTCTTCCTGCGGGGCTGTGAGGAGTTGGGCCTGAAGGGCTCCCAGCTATTTGACCCTGGAGACTTGCAGGACACATCCATACAAGCCAACCTCAAGTAAATAGGCGTGTGTGTTTGTGGCTTTTTATCCTTGCACATATGCATTTTAATGTTGTATCACATGATGGTAACACACTTTTCTCTTACTAGAGACTCAGACTACAACCGCAAACTAAAAAACGTGAGTTATTATTGTCCTTTATCTTTTTCTGCTAGTGCATTGCACTGATAAAAAATACACCAAACCCTTGTATCTATGCCTCCCAGGTGCTGACCACAGTGTTCTGGCTGGGGAAGGCTGCCGGTGGCTGTGCCTCCTACAGTGGCCCTACTCTCAACCTCAAGGAGTTTGAAGGGCTGCTTGCTCAAATGAAGATGGTGAGTGCGGAGAGCAGAGAAGTGAGGAGGAGGAAGGAGACGGGCAGAAAGACAGAGTAGCACAGAGGAGATGCGGGGGATGGATTCCTTAGCTTCCTGTCTTTGTTAGGGTGCAGGAGAAACTCGTGTAGGAGACACATTTTTGTTTTTGTTACACCATAGCTCTGCATGTTTTGTCTTTTGGATCAATTGAGGCTCATTCAAATTAGTTCCTCTTTGCACTTTAAATTTCTTACACAAGATACAATGAGCATTTGTCTATAAGTTACTCTTCCTTCACCTCTTTTGTGTCTCCTCTCCCAATAATTTCTCTTCTCACTTCTCTAGTTATTTTTTATTCATCTTTGCTACTTTATGCTGTTATTACATGTTATGTCATCATGCTGCCATCTGTGACTCTGTTACTTTGTAGACACATTCTTGTACAACACAAGAATGATAGATAATAGACATGACATTAAAACCATAACCCATATGGAATACTGCTTATTAATGAGAAAACACCGATTTTCCAGAAATTGCTGTGACCCCCCTCAACCTTTAACACTAAACTAACAAATTCAAATTCATCCCAGGTATGTATCACTACCAAAGCAAACATATTAGTATAAAATCCAACCGCTTTTAGCATGTCTTGCAGATATTAAGGCCTGGATGTCGTTAAATTGCCTGAAGCTAAATGATGCAAAAACGGAGGTTATAGTATTTGGCCGGAATATGTCTGGCGACCCTCCTCCGGTAGACCTAGGCTTTTTGGGGCAGTATGTGCGATCCGTTGTCAATGATTTAGGTTTTAGAATAGACTCGGATTTGCGAATGGAGAGCCAGATAACAGGAATGACACTCTGTCCGTGGTGTTAGTGTTTATATTACTGTCTATAGCTTTTTATGTGTTGTTTTTATATTTGTATGATATGTTAAGTGCTTTGGTCAGCTGTGCTGTGGTAAAGCGCTATATAAATAAAGTTGAGTTGAGTTGAGTTGAGTAAAAATATTTGCTAATTTATGAGATTATTTGTTTAATTAGGAGGAAACAATAACTCAAGAACAATATATAGTACAAACTTCATAATTACATCACAGGTGCCCCATCCCTATGTGGAGTAGATGATGTGTTTAGATTTTGGTGTGCCTTGCTGCATGCATTTGCATAATAATTAGTTAAAATCGATATTTATAAAGCTTCATGTGTGTCCTGTGTTTGTAGGAGAGTGAGGAAGGAGGTGACAGTTCACAGAAGCGCAGTGTTAGAGACAGTGGCTATGACTGCTGGGATTCTGAAAGGAGCGAGTCTCTCTCTCCACCACGACACACTCGAGACAACTCCCTAGACAGGTGAGAGCCATCTAGCACTGCACACTCAGGCATACATATACCCAAAAATATGGATGCACACAACCGGGGTATTTAAGCTCACTTATGAAAAGTTCAGTACAACTTTTGGCACAAAACTGACATTCAAATAAATATCGTGTGATTTTAGTTGCTAGTACATGAAAATAACATATTTTTTGTGTGTTTTCTTTTGTTTTTCAGTCTGGACTCCTTTGGTTCCCGCTCACAGCACAGCCCAGCTCCTGATGTAGTCAATCGAGGCAACAGTGATGGTTAGTTCTGAGAAATGTCTCCCCTATAGCAAAGGTTTTTGAACATTTGACTGAGCCAGGCTGTTTCCCCTTGCTTCCAGCCTTTGGGCTAAGCTAGGCCAATTGGCTCTGAGCTCTTGCTCCATACTTAGTGTACAAACATGAGAGTGGTACAGATCCTATTCTGTTCCTTTAAATCAGAAATACAAAAACCACTCATCCATAAATAGTCTGACTGCCATTCTCTAACATGCCGGGGTTTTAACCTTGGTATGTCATAGTTAGTGAGGCTGGCTGTGGACAACAGCTGAACATCTCAGACTGTGGGTGTGTGTGCCTTTGTATTACTTACACTATGGGGACTGAAACCTGGTAACACGCTCACATTGTGGGTACCGCCCTCTGGTCCCCACAAGGAAATCACTGAATTATAGGGCGGTAACTTGGTAAAGTTAGGGTGAGGTCAGGGTTAGGTGTTAGGCATGTAGTGGTTAGGGTTAAGGCTACGATAAGTCTACAGGAAATGAATGTAAGTCAATTAAAAGTGCCCACAAGGAATGAAAACACAACGTGTGTGTGTGTGCCCCAGATGTAGTAGCTGTTGGTCTAAGTAACAATCAGTAGAGATTTGGACACTGGAAATACAGACTGAGGTTAACATCCTGCCTGTCTGTGTGTGTGTGGGGGGGTGTCCACAGACATCCTGTTTGTGTCTTTTATGTTGACCGTATATTATGTGATCAGCAGGGTGACAAAAGGCACACTATTCCAGAGCTGGGAATAGATTCATTCGTTAGATTCCCTGCAGTCACAAAGAAAGTACACCGCCCTGCTAAGTAACATTTATTGCCCACCAGGATATATAGTGTGATATACAGTCCAGAGAGTAAGTTACACAGTTTTGTTCTTCAAGCTTTGCACTTTATCATATTTGATTTGAGCATGCCTACTACTTGCTGAAGGCAGAGAGACCCCACACCAAACAAGAGCGGAGGGCGACTGCAGAGAAGGTCTGAGTGAGCATAATGTGGGAAAATACCAAATGTCTGGTGATGTCTATGGGTCAAAGACTTCTGGCAGTCATTGACTGCAAAGGATTTTCCACAATATTAAATGTGACAATCTTGTTAAAAGGGCTTTAACACCTACACAGTTCTCTCTATATTGACATAAATCTGCTCAAATAAAAGTTAACACTGTCCACTTTAATGTAACATATACTTATTTTATTTAATATTTAATGTGCAGAAGCACTGACTATTGACTATAGTTGGATCTGCTCTGTATGTCTATTTGCAGAATATTTCATAGGTTTATACAGAAAAAGGTTTTCGAAAGGTTGCCAAGAAAAGAAGTGATCATGTTTCTCACTGACTGATACTGGTATTGCAGTAACATTTAAATGAACACCAAACAGAAACAGAGTTGGACAGGTGGGAAACAAACCTGGATGTGGAGCCAACATGCCTTGACTCTATAATGTTTACAGAGGTCATTTTGTAACCTTCTTCTCTGTTTGCTGTTTTTTTGCCTTTTCTGTCTTTGTCGCCCAGGGCGAGGCAGTGACTCGGAGGCTGATGCTCACAGCAGGAAGCCGGATGTACGGAAGGATGACATGTTGGCCAGACGGACTGCCAGCAGTGAATCAAGAAGCTCCATCCCTTTTAACCAGTTTCTTCCTAACAGAACCAATGCCACCTGCTACATCCCCACTCCACGCCGAAAACCACATGCAGAGGAGGGAGAGCAGCGAAGGTAATGACCAACACATTATTAAAATAAATATGTGCCAGGATTTTGTTTGTAAAGTAAATTCTAAAGTGTTGCAGTGGAAAACAAAATCTGAGCAGTAAGAAAAGGTAAAACACACACATGGACACTTTCATCATCCCTAAGCTTTCCCTGACTTTATACACCATTCCCCAGTTGCTCCACTGTGGAACAGAGCAGAACAATTGGACCCCACCAGAAAACTCCAAAAACTGTCACTTGGGCACCTGAAAACAATGGTGAAAAATTAAAACAGGAAGAGAAGAAGGTAACCCAGGAAGTGCTGGAGCAGAGAAGGCTGCAGAAATTGGAGAAGGCAGGGATTAAAGTTCTTCCTGCTGCCGTTCGCTACAGCAGGTCAGGGAGGACAGGCATGAGTTCTGCTGCTGTCGTGGTTGGACAGTTTTGGTTGTGCTGACTAACAAGAAGTTGTGATTGTAACTATGTTTTTTTTCCTGATGTGATTGATTCACACTGGTGCTATACTGTAGATTATGTTTGGTTTCAGCAGTCTGGCTACTTGGTGATGATTTTTGTATATCACTGTTCTGTGGAGAGCCTGATTGACTGTTTGCTCATTATCGCTGTTATGGGAGAGGTTGATTTAAATCATGTCTGTTGTTAACAGTGCAGTGGACGTTTCAATGGATGGGTTTGCGACCTGTTTGAGTGACTGTGTTTGGGTTGGTTGACTGCAGACTTTGACTAACTTACAAGACCTTCTAATAATTTCTGTGGGCACACGCTAAAGTCCGAATTTTGCACGTCACGACCTCTGCTCACAGCATGGCATGATGGATTTTTAATTATCTCTGAAATGACCGTGCTATGCTGTGCTATGTCCAACCCCAGCCCTCCCAAAATGGAGGAACAGGAAGTGAGAGCACAATCTCCAAACATTATCCTTCGTCATGATAATGAGTTTTTGAGCTCTAAGAAGTCTGCCTGGGATTCCTCCTCTGATGGAGAGGAAGAAGCACAAGTGCGGAAAGTTCCAGATGTTCGTAGAGATGACTTGGCATCCAGGCGAGCTCATCGTGGCCCCGTTGCTCCCAAAGTGCATCAATTTGTACCTCCACCTGTATGTAGCAACAAAGATCGAGAACGCTGGGAAGGTATTAGACGAGCCTCACAGCAAACACTACAAGAGAAAGAGATCAGGTCAGCCATGTGTATGTTTGTGTTTATCGCTGTTGTTCTTGCATTTCCTCTAACTTTTAAAATGTCTTTCCCATTTTCCTGTTCTTTCTTTCTTTGGATGTTGTGATCACTTGGGGTTTGATGTGTGTGCTCCATTTTGGTTTGCAATGTGTGTCGTGTGATGGCACTGTACTGGCTCTGTGACTGGACAGTGAGAAGGAAGCAGTCCCTGACATCATTACACGCAGAGACAACCCCTTCTTAAAATCTGCCTCTTGCCACCAGAAAGAGGACGATGAGGAGAAAGAGGGAGAGGAGGGAAAGGTTAAGGTGATGCCTAACAAACACAAGGATGACCTGGCTCGCAGGCGGGCTCAGACTAGGCCCATCCTTCACAGGGATGGACCCATGAGCTTTATTTCTGCCTCCATGAGTCAGGCAGATGTGCAGAAGTGGGAGAGGCTCAAGATGACTGAACCCAGGTGCCTAACACACACTTTTTATTCAGCACACATGTAGTAGAAAGCACTTAAATGCTGCTGTATGTCAAGTGTGTTGTTTGTTAGTGACTTTCCATATCAAAGGTGATAAGGGTATGTGCAATGATTAATTTTAGGTCCAGTCTTTAGTAAACAATTGCAAGCAAAATAGCATCATAAATCTGCAGAGATATAACCAAGAAAGCTTTTATTTGAATAAATAGTGAACACTAGATGTTTCTGAAACCCCTAACAAACAGCAGCTTGAGTATGAGCAGGATTTAATACTGGATGCATCCAATCAAAGCCTCACTAAACTGCTCGAAGCCTAAAGAACCTATCTACTGTATCTCTGTCAACTTTTAAAATTCTACTACTTTTGTAACAACAGTTCCTTTTTTAACAAAGGTTTAAGATTGAACAGTAAAAGGAAAGAATACAGATGCAAGACAGAACGTCAATATTTATAAAAAAATATGCTTTATGAGTTCGCTACAGTATCACTTACCGTGGAGTTGTGCTTCTTCGAATATGGTTAAATATCGTGAAATGTCTCCACAGATCTGTGCTGAGAAAGGTGTTATGGGTAACCATGCAGTAGATCACAGAGGCTCACAAAGGAGCTGAAAAGCAGACCTGCCAAATCTTCACATCATGCACGTCTGCACCTTAAGCATGCTGGTCTCCTTTGACTCTTGGAAATTGTGACAGGCTTTTGTCCATTGTGAATAATGAATGAGTGATCACAGAAATGATCTAACAGATACATTGATATAGTAGTAAATACAGTTTACTTGAGCTAGATTTAAGGATGTAAAATAATTTCAGTCACCTCTAGTACTTCCATCATCCGTCTGTCAATATTCTATCATTTTTTATCTTTCGTATCCTGTTGTAAGCAGCTTTACATTTCCCTAGACATTCCCTTCTCTCTTTGTCTCTGCTCTCCTCATTGTTGTGCACTTCAGTTCTCAGTCTTCTTTGGCAGGCATTGAAACAGAGTAAGGAATTGGCTAGTGTGTGTGAGACTGTGTGAGAGACCATAAAAGAAAAGAGGCGACTATTGGCTGTGAGCACTGCTTCAGCTTTGTTTTTCTGTGCTGATGTCATTCGATGGGATAAAGAGTTTTTTGTGTTCCCAGAGTAGCAGCAGCCAGTGGGGGAATGTGGATACCTATAGTAGATAAAAAGCTGGGTCTGTATGTGTGAATGTACATGTGTTGAGGGGATCTAGGTGACAACAGGCTTTTGTCCTGTTCTACATATCCACACTTCCTGTCTGATTCATCATTTCCACCCTTCCTTTGTCTTCACAGCCTGATCCTTTGTCTCTAGTTGCTCATGATTTCTTTTCCTCCCTCATCTTTTGTATGTGTGTTTGTGTGTGTGTCTTCATTTGTGAGGTTGTTATATCTACAGTGAGGCTAGTCTGGCCCCTGTGTGTCAGGCTTGTCTGGAGAAAACTTATGGGAGTCCTTTCAGCGGATCAGCAAAGGCTGGACGAGGTCACAGCAAAGTTGTGACCTTTGGGGGCGTGACTGAAATTGAGCAGCCAATAGACACAGTCACGTCAAGTGAAGGGGAGGAGACAGAATTGCTAAGACGACTCCTTTCCAAGGCAACTGTAGCCATGCCTATCGTTGGCCTGGGCTCCCAGCTTTCAGAGTGGGAACGCAGGTATGGATGAGGCCAAATAGAAGACAGCTTCGGCTACAGTGGCTGGAATCTAAAGTCGCTTGCAGTAGGATAGACTGCACTGAGGAATAAATGAGTCCTTTTTCTTTTGCATTACTTGTTGATTGATTTAATTGGTTGCTACTGTCACTTAGGAAAACGTCAAGTCTATTTGAATTAGTAAATTAGTTAGTTTGGATGCGCCACTCTGCAGTCTACTTGATTTGCTTGTATTTTAATAAGAAACAAGGTACACACACGCACATGTGTGTGTACCTTGCTGTGATCAGCTAGACTGACTAACCAATATGGGTTTTTGACGCCAATATATCAATAATTGAGAGGTTAAAAAATAATCCAATAATAAAAACCTGTAGACCAATTGTTACCGTCTACATAAACACAAACACACGAGCAAAATTTTATTGCGGTTTACCTTAAAGCTGTGACACATGTATGCAAATTTGACATCTTTATATATAGTAACAATTTCTATCTTAAATTTTTGTTCTTTACATTTATTTTTTTTCACACTGGTCTTCTAGCGCCCCCTTAGGAATATTCTACATTGCATTTCACTACACATACAGTATCACTTGTGTTCTGTATGTAAAAAAGAAAAGCACTCCACTTAAAACATGGAGCTAGTCAAGTGACACTGATGTGGCTCAAAATCTCATCAAAGGCTTTTGGCATTGCCTTTGCATTATTTTGCTGAGATTCTCTCTTGAATGGCTTTATGCTTGATTGTTTTGATCTCTCTGAAAATATAAATGTATTCTCTGCTCCTAGTGAACATTCTTGGCCTGCTTGTCTGCATGTTCATGCCTGGGTTTTATGACTATAGTTGCAAGTTTGGGTATAGATTAGCAAACTTTGTTGTTTCAGTTAGAGCTATATGTGGTGCTCTCACAGCCAGGAAGATAGAGCTGACCTCAATCAAACTGCCACTCCCAGTGCTCACCTGACACCCCGGAGCCCTGAGGCTGCTATGACGCTCGCTGAGCTGGATGCTCGTCTAGCTCAGTATGAACAGAGAACAACAGAGGAGGAGGAGGACGAGGAGGAGAGGATCCCAGATCTTCAGAAAGATGACATGATGGCAAGGAGGACAGGTGTTTTTCATAAACAAAACACCACTGCTGTGACTTACAACCGTTTCCTGCCTCTGCCCAGCTCCAAGTGCCGCACACAAATGGATGACACTACTGATGCTGCTCCGCAGAACAGAAGGGAGATGGAGGTAGACAGGAGCAAGAAATCAAATGCCAGGTGTGCAGAGTTTTGTGTTAGACTGTATGCAGTGTGCAAAGGGCACTAACAAGCTTGGTGTGGTTTGCAAAGAGATCTCCATTTTGATGTTCAGTTAATTTAGTTATATGAGTTTCTGTCATAGAGTGGAGCCACAGCAACCCAGACTTCCAATGGAAACACAGCAACCGCAGCCTGACACAACGGTGATCCAGTCAACATTTCATAGCGAACATGAAAATGATGATGAGGAGGAGGAGTATGAACAAAGTGAGCCTGTCCCTGACCTGGACAAGGATGATATGATGGCTCGCAGGACTGGAGCGTTCCACAAGCCGCTTGCAGCCAGAACAAATCAGTCCTTCAACCAGTTCCTGCCTGTACCTGGTACAGTAAAATATAACATCAGCCCAGTGTCTGCAATGAAACAGCTACACAGCAGACCCAAACTCACAGAGAAGATGGCTAGTGAAAGGTATTTATTGTCTGAATGGTGACAAGATTGTGCCAGCCACCACCGTAGCTACTGTAACTACATGTAAAGAATATTATACTGGCAAAGGTTTAATCATGTTTTCAGGTTATATGTTCAGCAGTGCTAACATTAGTATGTCCCTTTAGATGATTTAGAGTTGATCCTGACTTGTTGTTTTGGTGCTATGCAAGCATTTCCTGAGTGCCTGTAGCTGTGGTTTTATTTGTATTATCTGTATATCAAACGACTGGTCGACTTTGATTTGCTGTTATGGTCGAATTCATGCAACTCTGTTTTTCACATGGCTTGGCGTAGTTTGTGCTTGGATTGGACTAATCTGGTCTTTTCTTTTGTTTGTTGAGGTCTAACTTTGGCATTGTGTGGCATCACTTTGGTGTCAGCTGGAGCGTTCAGCTGTTATTTTTGTATTTAAATTGTAAATCACTGCTGAATCACATAGGGAGGAAAACTGTGGATGCACTACTCTCTAGTGTTTCAAGTTCTTTGGGTTAGTTCACCCAAATGACAGAAATTACATGTCAAATTGGCCGAAAAGCCGCCAACAGGGGACACACCAGGAAGACGAGCACTGACAAATGCTCACCAGCAGCCCGATAGTGGCAGACAGCTGATGTTGGCCTGGTGTGTCTCTGACCTAATAGTGCACCAGTTGAACACTGTCTATATTTTTCATATGGTTCCTACCAATTAATACCAAATTACACAGTTCTTTCCAGGAAACCTGTCAAATAAACTGGAAAGCATGTTTTAGTCTACCTCTGATTGTATGTAGCCATACAAAACATTCTTTTGTGATTTGGGTGATCTAACTCCTTAAGCCATTTCTGGCCTCTCCAGCAGGTTTTGTTTTGCCTTTGACTGAACCAAGATATTCCAGCTTTCACAACAACTACTTGGGTGTCGTCAAAAGTGCATCTGTGATACTGTGATACAGCTGTTGATTTACCATTTAAACACTTTCATGGTAATCTTGGCCTTATCACTGGATTTTAGCAGCATCATTACCATGGCAGTGAAACCTCATGCCCCACCTTCCCAACCCCCAACCGGCCCCAAGAGTGCAGGACTGACAGAGAGGCAGGAGGAGGAGGATGGAAAACAAAAGGGAAACATGATGTTCCCTTACACCTCTGTCACAGATGTGATTGAACCCCTCTCTTCTCCATCACTCACACCTCCACCCAGTCTCGCTGGTGCTCACATCTGTAAATTGGAGGCCAAGCTGGGAAGGCAGAGTGTGAAGCAAAACATTGAAGAAAGCATGGAAGAGAGAAAGAGGGATGTGAATGAGCAACCAGTAAAGAAACCCTTCTGGCTGACAGATGATGAGCTCCCTCCCATGATGTGAGATGCCCACTGAACTATTTTTGAATGTGTCTTCACTTCCATTTTCTGATTTGTTCATACAGTTTAATTTATTTACTAGATCTGTGAATGGAAGTGAACATGACCAAACATATACTCTCTACTAGTGTTTCTTACTGCAATGATAGCAAGTTTTAAATCGATGCCTGGCCTTGAGTTATGACTAGTGTACTCCTGCATAACACCATGCTCCCCTTTGCCTTACCTCCTCTCATTCATTTTATTCTATTGTATTCTATTGTTTTAGGATGAGCCGGCGAGTTGCTTTTATGTCTGAGGACACAGAGTAAGTCTTTTGGCGTGAACCTGGATCAGCTTCTGCATGATAACAATATATAAATACTGTGCACATTAGATTTCAATAGTACAGACCAAAGATGTATTAACACAACATATTAACATTACATGCACTGAGCTCATTATTGGCATCCAACTTTGAATGGTCCTAGTTTGCTTTTAATTTGTATTTTTAATCAGTCAGTGGTGGAAGAGGTACTCGGGTTTTTCACTTATGTAAAAGTGACAAAAATAGTTTTAAAAAAATACTCTCTTACAAGTCCTGCGTTCAAAATTTAAAAAAATTAAATACAAGTACTGGATTACAAATATTGATGCATTAATCTGTTCATTGCTTTAGTGTTGCAGCTGGTAAAGGTGGCACTGATTGTAATTTCTTTATATTGATGGGTAGCTTGTGAATTTCCACCAGAGGATCAATAATAGATCAAGTACAATATTTGCCTCTGAATTGTAGTGGAGTAGAAGTAGCATAAACATTCATACATAAAACTAGAGAGAACTCAGAGAGCTCAGACCTCCACCAAGGCAGACCCTGATTCTTAGTTCCAAGTCTCTAGCATTATTTCTTGTGTCACAGTAGTGAGATTTCTATGAGCCTTATAAATTTGAACATTTTGGATCACCACATCCGGAATATTACTTGGATCCAGATCAGGCTTTGGTGTGTGGTAGATCTTGGGTGGATGTTATCTTGTGATTTTTGTCCCAAGAAGGCATTAAGTATGGAGTTAGAAGCAAAAATAATGAAATTGGCCCTACCTCACAATGGTGAAGAATCTTTTAAAGGATTCCTGGATCCAGATGATGATCCGGATCACCTCTAAAATGAAACTGATTATTCCATTGGCCATACCCTACTGCTCCAGTTGAGTTATGTTGAGAACAAACAGCCAACCAAACCAACGAAACACTGGTAAAAACATAACCTCCTTGGCTGAGGTTACAAGTACATAAAGTAACTCAAAACTTAAGTACAGTTCTTTAAAAAATGCACTCAGTTCTGTTATATATATATTTTTTGCTTGTTTATTTAATACAGACTACTCAACTAATCAACTGTTATTACGTTTCTTTGTTTGCTCAGTTGCTTGTTTAGTTGCTTTGGGATAAGTTTATGAAAGGAGTAACTTGTTTCTCTTACAGTGTCAAGGTGTGGAGCAACACATACACAATAAAAGTCAACTATATACAGGAAAAATGATAATATTGTGTACCTATATATATATAATATAATATCATGTATGTCATGTATAGTTGACTGGATTTGTTGTGTATGTCTTGCTGTGTTTATATCTTGTAGTAGGTTGTTATTAGTGGCAAATCATCTTTATCTTATTTCTTTTTGATTGTTGAACATATATTGATTCATGTATAGTGATTACAGTGTATGTTTTTTAAATGTTGTGTTGGAAGTTTACACTAAAATGAGCAAAGTAAACAATGAAATGAAATGAATGAAATTAAATGTAATTTTATTTGCTGTTTTCCACAGTCAGAATGGGCACTGGATATTTTAGGTCAAGTTATTACATAATCTTTGCAAGATGATCCTGTGTTTTTCATTTCTAGGAGTGTGAGTATGGGTGACATGCTTAACGAGGAAGAGCCGGGGCACTTAACGCCACTCAGCCAGTCACGATATGAGCGCATGCATGAACAGTACAACAACTTTCGGGAAGATGAGGACCACTGGCAAGATGTAATAGACTTCTGACATTAAAACTGAATTAGACAGCATGTAGCATAGCATTTAAATAACAGCAGGAAAATATTAAATAAAATTACAGCAATATCCTGACTTAATGCTGCCTGTGTTTGACACTGTGAACATGTGACAGGACTTGGCTCGCTGGAAGAATCGCCGTCGCAGTGCGTCACAGGAGCTGATCAGGAAAGAGGAAGAGAGGAAGAGGATAGAGAAAAGGATGAAGGAGAAGGGGGGTGACGGCAACAAGAGGAAAAGCATTAAGACCTACAAAGAGATTGTGGAGGAGAAGTAAGGATGACACTGAGGCTCTTAATAGTGTTGCACGTGGCAGTTAAGATGTAACAGACCTATTTAAATAGGCCAAATTTAGCCTTGATCCTTTAGACATACTGTATCCAAAACACTACCTAAACACCAAATATTTTGTGTCTCTGCTGACTTGTCTATTCTAGAGAGCGCAGGGAAGCGGAGTTGTGTGAAGCCTACAGGAATGCAGCGACTCCAGAAGAGGCAGCCATGGTTTTACAGCGTTATGCTCTCCGTTTCACCATCAGCGATGCAACACTGGACAGCCTAAAACTGCCTAGATCCACCTCAAAACCTACATCAGACCTGAGTCATGTGGACAGGGAGCACAAACCCTCATCACCTGTTAATGAATCTGAAACATCAGAACCTCTACGCAAACCAGAACCAGAACCAGCTGTTACAGCAGTTCAGAGGCACACAAAACCTGAAGACGTGGAGACTGATACAGCATCAGTTTCTGTCACCACCAGCTCCCCAATGCATAACAGTTCCCTCTCCAAAGTGACAAACTCAGAAAATATACCACCTCAGTCATTAGAACTTAACCAACCTCAATCCAAACCAACAGAGTCTCCAGCTGCAGATCAGAAACAGCAGATGACAGGAGATGCACAGCCTCAAACTCAGTACTCTCCTCAGATTGTACAACTGCATCTTCATGCCACAGAGCTAGGGCATACACCCCCCTCCTCTTTATCTCTGCCCTCCAGGACTGTCCCCCTGCTGGCAGCCAAACCCTACTGCCAACCCAGGAACACACTGTCTGGACACAAACCTGTCAAGGTGAGTCGGTGATCACATGACACTTCATCATTCACCTCAGTGCCTGCCCTCATGTTTCGGAGATGTTTGTTGCTTCTAGGATGATTAGCAGTTTGACTTCTTACCCACTGACACGGGTACTGTTTTCATTTCTCTCCGTGCGGTTTAAAGATGTGTTGAAGAGCTTAGCTTAGCTTTGTCAGTAGCAGCAAGTCTCAACTTCTCCCAAAAAGCAGAAATTCATCTTTGAACTTTTCTAAAAGGGAAATATTCTTTTTACTGAACAACATGTGATTCACACATCACTGGCAAGAAATAAAGAACAAACTTCTTATCCACTTGATTTTTACATACTGCACAAATACACACAGATCTTTGTTTTCTGGTTGCTGCTCATCGTAGACAAACTCATTCCCTTTCTCCAAAGTTTTATTTACCTTTATTTTCATTTTCCATCCATCCATCCATCCATTTTCTTCCGCTTATCCGGGGCCGGGTCGCGGGGGCAGCAGTCTAAGCAAAGATGCCCAGACCTCCCTCTCTCCAGACACTTCCTCCAGCTCCTCCGGGGGAA